AGGAGGAAGGGGATTTACTTGAGTGTCATGTGGAAAGCATCTAATTTTTGTTAACTGATCCCTTTTTGTGTGGTTTTTAAGACCTGGTGGTTTCCTTTATCCTTATAGTGTGTCACTTAACCAGATGGGACTGGCTGTTAACTCACTCCGGCTTGCTAAATTGTAGTTGGTAAAAGATACTGCCCCCTGAGTAGACTGTTAAAAAAAGAACAAGACTGAATACAAGTGAAATGTAAAATATGTGGTTGCTGGTGTAGGTTTGCTACTATTCAACTAAATCAAAATTCCAGTGGCAAAGGAAAAGGGACTTGCCCCACACACGTATTAATGCAGTTTGTCACAGCTTCCAGAAAGCAAGATGCTGTTTTCCATCCTGTCCTACTGAGAATATCTGCGTCTGCGATGTCTGCCGGGAATGGCTCGGCTCCAGAGGCATAGCGGTGCTTGCTGATTCTTGCTGGGCAGCAGGAACACTGCACTTAGTTTGCAAGTGTGTGAAGAGCATTAAAGGTGACTTGTCCTTCCTGCCCAAATGTGCTGCCGGGGCGGGCGAGCCTCTGGGCAACCCACAGAAGGGGCTAAGGAAGATGCGATCGTCTTTAGAAGCAGAAGATTTATTTCAGTAAATGCTTAAGCAATTATAATTTAGGCAATGATAGATGAAGAGAAAAGCTTAATTTCTTACCATCTCGTGGAGTTATTCAAGATCTTGGAAAGCAGCACCACAATTAGCAGCTTGATGGGAGGTAGGAACAAAATTGTAATTAGTAGTAGCAGCAAGGTGTGCGTTAACTGGATGTTGTTGAGGTTTTGTTTTCCAAAATCAACTTGGGAAACTCTTCTATGAACACCTGTCAGTCTGCTTTGCTTGGGAAGTAGTTTTGTGACCTGAAAACTGAGGGGTAGTTCAGGTACTAAAACTGTGCCTGCATCACCCACGACGTGTGTTTGACGGGCAGACGCAGCACAGGGTCCACAGAGCCCTTCTGGAGGGCACCCTCATGCCTGAAACACCGCTGGACACTCAGATCTCTTGCTAATGACTTATCCCTGTAGATGACTTAACAGTTTTCCCTTCTTAAACGCAAGAAAGTAGCTGCTCATGTATGTCTGGTGAGCAGACCGGAGCCTGGTGGGGAAAAACCCTGTCCCTGGAAAGGCAGGTAGGAGTGTCCCCCGCCACAGCAGGAACGCAGGCAGGAAGGTGAAGAAGAGGAGGGCTCAGTGGGTCTGGGCTTTACCTGGGGAAACAGCGGGGAAGCACTGCGGTGCTCGGGGTTCCTGTGCCTGGTGGTGTGTCCTCGGCCGTCCGGGCCAGGAGCAGCTCTCTGCGATGGCGGCACGGCTGGAAGAAAGGAGCTGTGGCACTGCGCTGAAGCACGGGCTGGTCTGCTCGCTACGAAATGAGACTGTTGCTTGAGTTTCCAACATCTGCCCTCCTGTCTTCAAGCCAACTTACCAGAAAATTAATGGCAGCGTGTTTGTCTGAGGGGGACTGGGGCTTCATTGCGCTCCGGCCGAGGGCAATCCTTGGTGGCCCCCAACAGGCAGGTTTCCTCTGTGGCCCCCCTGATGAAGAGGGCTTTGCCCCGCGGGAGGATGGGCCTGGCGGCGCTGAGCCCCGTCTGGCAGCAAGAGCCGTGGGTGAGGCACAGCTGGCTGCCACCATGCAGATGTGGCGCTGCACGGAGGTCATGGAGAGGTTTTAGCAATTGGCTTTTTCCCAGCGACATCTAATCTCTCAAGTTTGCAAAGGAAGTATTACACCGAATCGCAACCTAGGCAGAACCAAGGAAGGAAATACTTCAAAGATTTCCTTCTTTGTAACATCCTCCGTTACTGAGGGCTTTTATCCTGCGGCCGTGGAGTCCTTTGTATTTCTCAGTGATGCTGGGAGGGCCAAACAGCCGCGCTGGCAAAAACAGCACACGGTTCAGTCCACCTCTGGTCAGAAGCTTGTGCCCCATCCAGCAGCCACAGGTCTAGCCCTGATGATTCACACATTCCTGGCTCCAGCCTCTGGATTACTGCTCCCTTCGTAGCCCTTTTTCTTACTTATTTTTTTTGGAACGCAGCTATATACCCTGGAAGAAAAACTACAGGGCTTCCTTCTGAACACGATGCAGTTGAAGACCTGCGTGGGCTTTGCTGTGCCTGCTGGCGAGGAGCCGTGCGGGCTCTGCCGGCCCCTGCCCGGGCTGGAGTGGAGGGGGCAGCAGCCAGGGGCAGGCAGAGCCCGCACGGGTCGGGGCGAAGGTATGGGGGTTTTAAGGGCCGCAGGAGAGACCGTACATTCCAGCCCCTTCCCAGCTGAATGCAAACGAGCTTCTTTGTTCCAGTTTTCCACAGTTTCGTACCACTCTGCACACGCAGTTAGCTCGGCTAATTAACGCAGTTTGGTATTGCACCAGTAAGTAGAGCAGCAAAGGGCTGTGGTGGCAGAAAATTCAAGTCTCTTCTGACCGTTAGGAAATATTACGGGCATTTTTTGTGCAGTTCGAAGTGTATTTAAACAGAAAGGTGAGGAATTAGGGAGGCAGCCTTATATGCTCCGTGTTTCAAAGCTGAAATAAAATTTTGGCAATAAAAGAGCATGATGACAAAATTTATTTAAAGACTTAACTATTTAAAGCTTTACTAGAAAGTGCTCCTTTAAATTTTCTTAGTCTTTGAGAAAACTTAATTTCTGCATTTACTCAGATCACTTCTGTGGAGATGGTTGTACTGCGTACCCAGGTACTTCTGAAAGAAGGCATCTAAATACTTTAATATGAATATCCTGTTGATTTTATAGAACGTATTGTAAGATGTCACATTTGATAGCTGAAAAATTAGTGCGAATATGTCACAAATGCAAATTTAAGACTTGTAACAGATTTAATCTCCATAGCTCAGACAGAACTTTTCACAGCAGCCCCTTATGTCTCTCAGAAAAGGGATTAAAAACTCAGTGTTCATTTCAGGCTTGGAAGTGTTTTGTGTAAAGATGGTTCTTTCTTGCAATTCAGAACTTTTGCTGGGCTTTTGATTTCCATTCTCCAATTTTCTGTATCGCTACTAATTGCTCTTTTAAGTTTGTTGCCACTGAAACTTCAATGTTAGAAACCTTTAAGAAAAAGAATATTTGCTTTCTTAAGACATCCTTGGTTTTACCCTGCTTGCTTGTCAAGTTTAAGTGTTGACAATAGCAGCAGGGGTGCTTTTAAAGACTTTCTTTCCATCAAATGCAGGTGGTTGTTCTGTAGTGCTGCGAGGGTTAATCCTGCAGATGTACTCCTGTATCCATGCTGAGTTTCTAGTGGAAGAGAATTGAGTTATGTTTATTTCTGAGCATCGAGGTGGTTCAGCATGCAAATACTGGAGTAATTGTAAATAAATTAAAAACTTTGCAAAACATAGTTTGATGATACAGTATTACCATTTTCATAAGAAGTAATTGCGTTTAGTACTTTCTCAGTAACAAGCAGCAGTGACCCTTCCAATTTTCCTTAAGAGGAAAAAAGGAAAATCTGGCCTTCTCATCATATGTTATATTTACATCAGGTTTGCGCTTAAAAATAATTCAACAGCATTGCATTTATAACCAGGATGTGGAGGAATTTATTATAACAACTGCTTGAGGGGATTGGAACATCTCTCCTATGGAGAAAGGCTTAGGGACTTGGGTCTCTTTAGTCTAGAGAAAAGAAGATTGAGGGGGGATCTTATTAATACATACAAATACTTAATGGGAGGATGCCAGGGGGATGGGAGCAGTCTTTTTTCAGTGGTGCCCAGTGATAGGACGAGGGGTAATGGGCATAAACTTGAACATAGGAAGTTCCATCTTAACATGAGAAGGAACTTCTTTACTTTGAGGGTAGTGGAGCACTGGAACAGGCTGCCCAGAGAGGTGGTGGAGGCTCCCACTCTGGAGACATTCAAAACCCGCCTGGACGCTGTCCTGTGTAACGTGCTGTAGGTGACCCTGCTCTGGCAGGAGGGTTGGACTAGATGATCTCCAGAGGTCCCTTCCAACCCTAACAATTCTGTGAACTCTGTGAATTCTGTGAATTCTGTGCTTAAAGACAGTACCTAGGGGCCAGCCAAGAACAAGGGCTGTTACTCTCAGTATTGTTCAAATGGAAGTAACAAGGTCTCTAAACAAAGGCAATCTGAAAGAGCTTGGGTAGTTGGAAGATGCCAGTCACTTGAAGGATTAATGAAAGGCATGTAACGTGTCCAACGAGGTCTTAATGAGAGACATTTTTCTTTAAAGAATATTGGGGTAAGGTCTTGATAAGGGTTAGCTAAGTGTAGAGATGGAGAACTGAAGCAAGGGAGAAGAGGAGTGGTTAAAAGGAAGGGTACCTGGGGCAAGTGAAATGAAACTGAGAGAAGGGAGGATATGGGAGGGGGTGAGAAGAAAAAGCCAAGTTAAATGGAACTTCTTCCACAGAATTAAAAGCGAAATGCAGCATACAGATGTGCTAAGGATCAGAGGGTCCCTGCTGCTTCTGTGTGCCCCTTTGGCTGCAGGGTGTTTTCTGTTTGTTGGGTTTTTTTCCTCGTCTCTGCTTCTTGGGACTCCTTTCCTTTTTCCCTTGGTGGCTTGGGGTGGGGGAAGTGCCATAACGAAACCTGAGTAATACCCTCGGAAGTCAGCTTGGGCCGAAACACAGCTTGTCCAGCTTGCTACAGCTAAAGGTGTTACAATGATCTGGCCAGACTTGATGATGTTCCAGCCACAAAGTAAGAAAACTACTTCTGCAATGAAGAAAAATATTCTTAATTTTTATTTTTTTCTTCACAATGCTGCCTTCTTGAAAAAAAAGGTTCAAAAAAAGTTTCTGATGAGTATTTAAATATTTCTGCTAGTCCTGGTAGTGGTGTTGTATTTAGTTGGAAAACTAATAATGTTGCTACTGTTTTTTCCACTGCTTAGGTATTCTTTCCCTTCAATAATCTTGTAAAACATAAGAAGAATTTTAAAATTAATTTCACAAATTTTTTGTTAATAGGCAAACTTTGGACCAGAAGTATGAAGGTTGCTTACAATATACTACATAAATTAGGCACAAAACAAGAACCAATGGTACGACCTGGAGACAGGGTGAGTATCTCAGTGATTTTTAATTACTAATAATTCATATCCCGCATTGACAAAGAGAGAATGAGGTATTTAGGGTGCTCAGAGGAAATTAATGAAGTGAAATGCTGGGGGGGGGTGGGGTTGAAATCTGCCTTTTACTCAGAAAAAGACTGATCATTCAGACAGATGTTTTGAATTGTATAATAAATAACCTGAGCTAGTACTCCCTGAATGGTAACTTGAAGTTGTGGCAATGCCAACAATCAACATTCCCATGGAAAGTGATTTTTGGACATAGAACAACAGTCTGTTTAGCAAAAGCTTGCTTACGGAGCCTGGAGGTGTCATGTGGGTAAAAAACTTACTTACTAATGACTTTGTAGTTGTTGAGATGGTAGAAACAAGAGAGACATTGTGGAGGACAAAGACAAGCAAAGTAAGCACATTTTGGCAGCCAGTTAAATAAATAAATTACGCTGACTGGTAACATGGAGAATATTTCCATTCCTGGTCCCTGAGGCTGGCACAGCTACTGCTAGAGGCTGAATCTGGGTGAGTGGGTAAAGTCCACGGAGAGAAAGGGTTGCAGAGGTAATACTTGAAGCCGTTAAGTGAAGACAAGAATGTCCTATGGTTTTGCTACTGATGTACTTACAAACCTGCCACTTCCTCTGTCAAGGCTGGCTGAGCCTGCTACCCCGTTTCTCTGCCACAGCATGTATAGACATTTGCACAGGTCCCATTCCAGGTTGGATTTAAGCTGTGGAATGGAGATTCCAGAACAAATTTGTCAGAAATGCAAGTTTTAGTCCTGCCTTTGTGCTTTGAGTTTTGAGGGTGGGATTAAGTCTTCCTCTCCCAGGTCTGACAGCAATTCTCAAACTGTTCACTTGGTCCTCTTGTGCCATGTGTGAGAAACATGTCTGTTTGCATTACACATTTCTTAGGGCTTTGAAAGTGAGAACATGCAATAATGCTTCCCAAAAGAAAAAAAAATTTAAAAAAATGAAACCTGACAGTCCTTCCTATGTTTGTTTTTTAAATAAATTATAAAGAATTTAACGAAAGGATCTCTAGGTCCTTAATCTAAATTGCTTCCTACAATGGCATTCAGCCAGGATTAGGATCTGAAGAATCTCTTTACTTGATATACAAGTGTGTCTCTAAGCAACAGCAGAAGAAACAAGTAGTTCGAGTATACGCATCAAAACTATCCACCCAGAAAGCTCCAAAAGGAATGAAGTTCACATCCGGGCAGTGCGCATCTCTGCCCTATCTGTTGTGTGCTAACTGCCCATCTTTATATTAATTTACTGCAGCAGCCACTGGCATCTCCTAACATTAAGAAAGGATTTGTGGGTAATTCAGGCTGAAAGCTGGAAGTTTAGCTAGTGCAGGACACATAAACAACAAATTGCAGCTCTTCTAAAATAAGTCCACCTAGATTACAGTGAAACAAATGTTTATAGCTGAGTGCTGAAAGCATATGCTTTGTGTTGTAAAAACATCTTGCCTAGCATCACTGTGTAACAGAAACATGATCATTTGAAGGAACTTCATGTTGAAGATGAGGTGTTACTGTACTTCTGATGTTCTAGGCTGTTATTCTGGCTGTTATCCCCCTGTTGTAATAACATAAAAGCTTTCTGACCTCTTTGAAGATGGCTTTTTATTCTAAGTAATGTATTTTGTGTGACAATAGTTAAAGGTACTTTTTAAATACTAAATGAAATACAGACATATATTTCTGGTCTTTTCTCAGTGAGAGTATAATTGTTTCCTTATGTTAATATTATATAAAATTCAGAAAGGGCTTTTTCCCTTTAAAAGCACCTTCTATCAATGCAATCTCTATTTTTCATGGCTACCATTACAACGCTCCTTAGGTTCTTTGTCTGAGCCAAAAAATAGATTAATGTGCCTGCATTTGATTCCCTGTTTCTGGTTTTATTATAGCACACAACAAGCTGCATTTGCCTTCAATAGTAACTTCAGAAATTTAACCTTGTGTCACCCCAGACAGCTGCCTGGAAATTAAGCTTGCCCTCTGAAATACCTACTAGATAACCAGATTCTCATCTGGTAATATACACTCTATGTTTTGTTTTCCTTCAGCCTTATCCCTTTTTGCTTTTACCCGCATTATTTATTTATTTGGTTCAGGTCTGTTAGTGATTAATGTTTTTTGGAGGAGAAGTTAATGCCTCATTCCCACTGGACTTCAGTGAGATTTTTTCACCTCTGTCAGCTCCTTTGCAAAGATTCCCGGCCAAAACTTTGCTGTGTGTATGTAAACAGAGACCAAGACAAAACCCAACCATCCTCAAAGTATCTTTTGGGATCTTTCAACATTTTTCAGATGTTTGCTGGGCTCAGCAAACTCTACCATCCTCTCAGTGCACCTAGCAAAATCCCTTCTTTTCCATTCCCCTGAGGCCATTTATGGTATGTACATGGAGAATAAATGCAGTAAGATCTGCACAGCCATATCCAGCAGTTGGATTGTTTCGTGTGCAAGCATACAGATAAAGTAGCAATGTTTTTTCTCTGAAGTTTCTCTAAACAGCTCTCAAGTTACAGGTTTCAGCTTAAAAACAGAGATATTTTGGACCCACTTGGACAAGGTTGGTTAGATTTCTTCTAGTTTGAAAAAGTCAAGTTAATCTATGGGAGGCAACTATCTTTGAAGCCATATGAAATCACTGGAAACCCTGTTAATCTCCAGTAACTAACCTTTGAGCATATATGAAAACATGATTTTACTTCAAGAGATTAAAACACAGAACTCCTATGGATGTGAAAGCAGTCAAAACTCAAGAGTTATTAAGTAGTTTCAGCAAATTTTAAGTTGCTGTAATAATACACTCTGATCCTGTGTGCAAGCCCAAAGGAACTGAGTTTGAAGTCATTCGCCATGGCTTTTGCATGCCACTTGAGTTGACCGTGCAAGACAGTTACCAGCTGCATTACAGCTGTTTGAGACGTGAGCTGAGAATGTGCATCTGACTGCACCAGAACAAAATTGTAGACAGGATCTAGCCACTGAGGTCGTTCACCAGTAAGGGAGAGCAGTAGTCTTCCCTGCCCTTTCAAGGAGAGTCGGGGGCTCTCTAAGTTGCTAGATCCTCAGCGAGCCCGTGCACTATCACCTCTCCTTCCCCTTTGCCCCTGGAGGATCTAAGACATTGTCTATAGTGCCCACAGAACTAAGCTGCACAGTTCAGCACATTGAGGGAGGAACGGTGCCCAGTGAGGATACAGGTGATTTGCTATAGCATTTTATGTTTTCTTGGCATTCTTTTATCTAAATAGTTCCCTAGCCCTAGCCCTAAAGCTGTGAAGTTTAACAACTCCAGGCCTAGGTTGACATGCTATATGGCCAGCTCTGGATGTGACATTTTCTTCTTTAGATATCAGCTATTTGGGTTCTCTAGGTACAGAGAAACTTCTACACTTGGACAACAGTCCAATCCCAAAATGACATTGTTATATGAGGCAAAAAAATGAGACAAAACATAATCTGTTAATGATTGACATAATGGCATAGTAAGTCTGGGTAGTTTGAATTGGTCACAAATCCATTTTGTTTTAGGTAACTCCAAGCAAATTATTAAATTAGAATGTAAAATTCTATTAATTCCTTTTACGTGGTTATTTAACATTTGTAAAGGAATCAGTAAATTGAGAACCAGATGAGAGGTATTGTCAATGTACGAAAGAATGCAGCATGAAAATTTTAACTCCATCACAAGTGAAAATGTATACAGAAGGAATATCTATCAGAATCAATTGCGTCTGATTCTTCACTCATCTTTCATCAGGTATTTGAATAGTTATCATAGAAATGTTTTGGTAATCATCTCTCTCCAAAAGGAAGCATGGAAACTCCAATTATCGTTATCTGAAACCTAGGATAAAACATTTTTAATGTGCATCTCTTTGTTTCAGGTAACACTCGTATTTCCTAATAACGATCCTGCTGCTTTCATGGTAGCATTTTATGGCTGCCTGCTTGCGGAAGTTGTCCCCGTCCCTATTGAAGTGCCACTTACAAGAAAGGTAGGCAACTGAATTTCTTCTCTATACAGTGTTTTAAAACTTATGTCAGAACAAATCACAGCTGAGCATAGCATTTGAGTACATTTTTTGTGGTTAACTAGCTCTGAATCTGAGGATACAAAGATAGTGCTGCGTGGCGAGTTATATATAGTTCCTTCTTTTCTGTGATGGAAAATCTGAAGATGTGCTTGCAATATCAGCAAATGCAGGTCCGTCTGGAAAAGGAGAGGAAAATTTTCCAAGAGAACAGCTTTGTCAGTCCTAGATGGATTATCTTTGTAGCCTCTCAAAGCATTCTGATGTTGGCCACTGACAAAGAATCATTGGCAACAACTGCTGATTTTCCACCTGTCCCTGCAACCCAAGCTATGTTATAATGCCACTAGTGCTGTGTATGCTACTTCAAAGCAGTTACAGAAATGCCTTCTCTTGTGTCTGTATGTACATATGTATCCCAAAGCGTCTGTCACCATGGTCATCTCTGCCAAGGGTGGCACTTCAACAAATCAAGTTTGGGAATTTTTGCCATACAGCATACATTCGTAGAGAAAACTGACCATTGCTAATCAAAAGCCTTTCACGTCCCATGGTGGTTCAGAGATTCAACCATGTATCCTAGGGAAGTGTTAGTAGACAGATAGAGCAGTTCCAGCCAGAAAGAATGCCTGGGGGCAATGAGGGGACGGGGCTCAGTGGGTAGGTGAGCCACAACTGGGATGCTTACACCGATGCTGCTGAACTTGCATTTTTTTCTGAGGCTGTATGCCTTGAAGGTTGTTAATACAGCAAAATGTATTTATTCATTACAAGTTCTTTTTGTCACATCCCCTTAATTTTACTGTGGCTCACCGCAATGCATGTTGTAAGGTTCTCCCAAATATCCCTCTATATAATCCCTTTTTTATTAGCTAGCACTAATAATGCCTTACTTTAATTATTTGGTCTGGAATTGTCCACATAAAGTGTGTTCTTTAATCCTTACAAGCTTTCTTTTTTAAACAAAATTCTTTTGGAAAATGTTGACTGAAGCCATGAGGTGTTTCCAAGGAAAGGATTGGGGAAATGTATTGCTTTGCTCACTTTTTCAACTTTTCAGTTGTCAAGGGTTTGGTTTTTTTTAAAAATGCTTTGGTGTCACAGCACCCTGGAGCAGAAGCTCAAATCTTTGTTTCATGGACAGGTACCCTGCCTTTTAAATGAAAACCCATGAAAACAAGTGAAAACAAGTTTGCATATCTCACATAGCAATTTAACAGCTAAAAATATCTGGAGATTCCTTCCTAACTGAACACGTTTGAACCTTCCTCATCTCTGAGAAGCTGAGTTGATCTCATCATTTCTCCATTAGGTTCACACACACCCTGGCCAACATCTGCGGTGGGCCCTTGCTGTGGTGTGACCGGAAGATGGCAGGGAGAGAAGGGGTGGGAGCTGGAGGAAGGGAGGGTTTGCTGAACTGTGAAGGAGTTGAGGGAGTTGGGGGAAAGTGGGTGGATCAGACAACAAAAGGCCGTGATCCAGCTCAGCAGACATGAGAGCAGCTGAGTAGAGGGAAGGACACTGGTAACCAAGGGAAGAGGAGACAGGAGGTGCCCCAGCTTAACTGGCTAAGACTGGAGGAAAGGTGCAGGTGAGCTAGAAAGGCCATGCAAAGAGAGAGGATAGGACCTTAACTGGTCTACCTGCTCTGGGGAATAGGGTTCTGCTATTTTATTTGTGAAATGTTGTATTTGAGAGCACTGAGAGGTGGACATGAGTATAGAATGAGGATAATGATTTTAGTAGAAATACAGCACATTTGCGTTGGGCTATCACCATGTTTTCACATGTGAGTGCAGTACCTTAAGATAATTTGAGGCAGTTGCATAACATGGTGCATTATTTCAATATAAAACACAGATTTTAAGTGCAGCCACAAAAAAACAGGCGAGGAGACTATATACACTTCAAGATCATACAAAGTGCTCACATGGGTAAGTCTGCTTTCATTCTACAAAATGAAAGAAGCAACATGGCTTTGAGGAATAAAAAATCTAATGTGTGTTTCCCTGTTACTATTTTCCAAGGTTTAATGACATTTTAAAGTACATGGATATGTGTAAATTTGATTTATTTTGGAACATCTGATACACATCCATCCAGTAAACTATAAAATCCAGCTGTCCAAGTAAATACTCTATGTCAAATTAATAACTTACCCTAATTTGGCTGAACCTCCAGGGTGGTTTTTTTTTTTTTAATGTGTGTGTATATATGGATACATAAATATACACTTACACATGCATATATATATATTTATATAAAGGCATATCTGCAGACTTAAACTGTTTAACTATTGCCAAGATCATTCCACAATGTTTAAATACCAAATTAATAAAACAATAACAGAGATGTCAGTGGTACAGTTAAAAAAGCAACATGATCTATGATCTATACATAAAACTATGCAATCTCACAGCATATACTGTTGCAAATATTTTTGCCTTTGTTTATGTGGAATGTGAACTGGAGTGGAAACAATGAGATGAAAATCGTGTTCTGAGTAGTCCCAGAAGGAATACCTCTGCTTGGTCAAATGGCAGCGGATTGCTTCTGGCATCCGTGGGAAGATGTCATTCGTGTCATCACACAATGGCCTAGACTGTTCTTTTGTGCTTTCCCGTTATTTGTTCTCTTTCCTACATGCTTCAGTACATTCTGGCAGTGGACATTTTTTGGTTTGCTTTTTGGAAGACAGAGATGTGAACTAACAAGTAGACCAACAATTATATTATAGGCTAGTACAGACTTACAGAATAATAAGCTGATAGAAGATGAGCTATTTCAGGGAGTTGTATTATGAGCCCATTTTAAATACTAAAAATTTGCATTAGCAGGTTTAATACTGTTCTGCATTTTCATAAAGAAGAGTTTTTCACAACCCTGCAAATTTTTTGTGCCTGTCAGTTTAAAATTGAGCAGTAATGTTTGCAGCCAGATAGCCTTTCGACTTACATATTACTTTGCAGACATCTATATCCACATGGAAGTAAAGACTTCTGATTTACCAGCTCACAGATTTTGTGTGCGTTCCCTTTTCTTCGTCGAATGACTGTTACGTTTTTAAGATTTTGGCAGGGTTTTTTCCTGGTTCGTTATTAGGGGAGGGTCCATCTCTCCTTCCTCTTTCCTTCCGTATCCTACCTTTGTGTTGACAGAATACCTAGAATTAGCTGTACTTCCCCCAAGGACTTCAGGAGACCAGTCTGACATGGCATCTGGGATGGATTGCCTGAATACCCAGCAACCACGCAGCATTCTCAAGTACATCAAAACTAACTCTGTATTCTAGAAGCAGCAGTCAGGGGTTCTGCGGTCACTGTAGCAATAGAACAAACAGCATGTTTTATTTCTTCTTCTCTCCCTGCATTAATACCACTGAAATGCCTATATCATGAACACTCCCCAAATTTTTACAGTTTATCCTCATCCCTTGGATTATGGGCTATGTTCTTTCAGAATGGTGTCCCTCTCTCCAAATATTTTATGTTGCCCAAACATTAGCAAATGGTATATTCTATACAACATCTCTTCCTTCAGAGCTGCCACTTTTGTTAATCTTGTCTGAAGCTGGAGTGTTACAAATTGTTTCATTGTATGTGTGATATGATATGAATTGCAAACTATATATATTAGAATGTGCCATCAATGTAGATGATATGGGATTTCCGACATGTCAAGTTCTAGTTCAGATAGCAATTTATTATTTCCCTTATGAAAAGATTTAAAAATATGTTTTTGATTTCTTTTTCTTTAGATTTTTTAGGTTAATGTTTTTTTCCATTTGATGGGCGCCATGAAAATTATTATTATTCTGCTCTGATACAGTCAGGGGAGCTAATCAGTTTTAATATTAAAATAACATTTTTGTCTTCCAAGCACATTCATAGTTATGCTCAATCGCATGCTGTGAACATATGAACAAAGCGATCCCACATAGATCTTTATGGCCTCCTTATCATAGGTGGTGAGTATTTGTAGCAGGGTATGACATGAAAGCATGTAAAAATCTATTTCTCAGTCAAAACAGTATTTCCTAGCCTGTTAGATTTAACGCTATGTGTGCTTTCAGCAGGCATTTCTGTGCTCTTCCAGACGCTGGCTCTGACAGTGTGATTAGGAGAATGTGCCTGTGTATTGTCGTATGTAATCTGAAGACATCCAGTCCGGGACACTTTTTTTTCTTTTTTTTTTTTTTTTTTTAAAGAAAGCTTCATACCTTTGTAGGGTAAAAACTGTTTTTCAGGAGCTATTTTTAGTAAATCCTGAGAAGTTAGGTTGTTAGAGCTTTAACAGTAGCCAGAGAGATATATCTCTTTAAAGACAGTGAAATTGTCCCAGTCTTGTCTTCCATTTGAAAGCAGAATTGTATTCCAAAGAAAATACACCTTGATGCCCTTCCTGGTGTTTCAGGGCCTGCGATAAAGTAAGCTTTGTTTCCTCTCAGCTTTAGTCATCATTGTGCTGTAGTGTGCCAGAAACACTGGAGCTCTACATACTTTTGAACATCTTTGGACAATGCATCTCTTTCTCCACTGGATTTAGAATATGCATAAAATGTTATATATTTTCTTTTCCGTAACATAGTTTTCTAGTACCTCCAAAGAACACAAGTTCCCTCAGCCCCACATGGGCCCCTGGTGCACACCGCTGGACCCCTGTAAGCCCTGTGCCCATCCTTCACTCTTCATGCACTTCGGCAGCTGGGCACTTTGCTCAGTTGGCCACAGTGAATGTCGGATCCTTTAAACTCTGTGTTTTCTTTGTGTGTTTTTGCGTTTAGGAAATGGTGGTTTCCTAGAGAGTATTTCATGCAGTGTCCCCTGCCAAAAATAACTGTTGTCTTGCTTTAAATAAGACTTTTGGACATTAAGACTGCTCATAGTTGCAGATTTCATGTACAAATGACAGCCAGATACCAAAGCTCTGTCTGGGGAGATGGCTGATTTGTTCATCGTAAG